AGTCCTGAAGGCAGTCTTCGGGATATCTGGCTCCCGAATCTTCAACTGATGGTAACCTGAGCGCAAGTCAATCTTAGAAAACACCTGTGCGCCCCGAAGCTGGTCAAACAGATCATCAACGCGAGACAAAGGATAACGGTTCTTCACTGTAACCTTGTTTAACTGGCGATAATCAATACACATACGCATAGAACCATCCTTTTTCTTCACAAATAAGACAGGAGCACCCCATGGTGAAACACTGGGGCGAATAAAACCCTTATCAAGCAATTCCTGCAACTGATCCTTCAATTCCTTCAACTCAGGTGGAGCCATACGATATGGAGGAATGGAAATGGGCTGAGTGCCCGGCAATAGATCAATGCCAAAATCAATGTCTCTCTCGGGCGGCATGCCCGAAAGGTCAGCTGGAAACACGTCGGGATAATCCCATACCACTGGGACTGAATTAGCAGAAGGGGTATCAGCACTGACATCTCTCACATAAGCTAAATACGCGGCATACCCCTTCTCAACCATACGCTGAGCTTTAAGGAAAGAGATAACTCTACTGGGAGTGTGATCTAAAGTACCACTCCACTCAACACGCGGAATACCTGGCATAGCCAGCGTCACGGTCTTGGCGTGACAATCAAGAATAGCAAAATGGGGCGACACCAGTCCATGCCCAAGATAATATCAAAATCAATCATACTGAGTAACAATAAATCCGCTCTGGTCTCAAAACCACGAATAGTAACCAGACATGACCGATAAACGCGATCCACAACAAGAGAATCCCCCACAGGAGTAGAAACATAAACAGGGGCACTCAAAGAATCCCGAGGCACACCCAAATACGGAGCAAAGTAAGAAGACACATAAGAATAAGTAGAGCCCGAATCGAATAGAACCGATGCCTCTCTATGACAAACCAGTATAATACCTGTAATGACAGAGTCGGAGGCAACAGCCTCGGTATGAGCAGAAGTAGCATAATATCTGGCCTGGCCTCTCTCTCGCGGGCGACCTCTACCTCCCCGACCTCCGCCCCTAGCCGACTGGGCAGATGGGGTGGCAGCTGGAGCTGTGACCATGGCCTGAGAACTCTGAGGAGCCCACTGTGGCTGAGCAATCTGTGAAGACGCACCCCTACCAAGTTTGGGGCAGTCCCTAACCATGTGGCGTGTATCACCACACTCGAAACATGCTATGGGAGGACGTGGTGGCTGTGACTAACTAGGACCAGGTCTGCTGGACTGACCTCTGAAAGCACCCCGCGCAGGAGACGCGCTAGACACTGGAGGTGCATAGTAAGGCTCCTGAGGTATAGGCGGAGCTGGAGCACTGCTAGTTGCTGGAAGAGCTGAATGAACGGGGGGAATGAAGAGCAGTCCCTAACCATTCGTTGATTGCTTCCATATCCACTTTGTGTTGTTCCAGATGCCTAGCTTCAGACTCGAAGACCCTCTTGCGTAACCTCCTGTACTTGACCTGTGCTTCAGCACCGTCATCTATGATCCTGTTTTTCAAATTAATTCTCGACTTCACGTCTCCTGCTATATCATCCACTAGCCATGATGGGTAGAAGTACACATGATCGGCATGATACCTGTCTGGCTAAATAGTATCCTTTTACACAATGACCTTCTGATTCGACATATGTTGTGCCTCGAACTTGAATAGAATAACATCCTCTTTAAAATCTACTTTGTACTGGACCATATTGGAAACCCGAGGTATAACCTATTTTCTTCCCGCTTGTCTCATTACCCTTAGAGGAGCATAAGGATAGATTCCCCTCAACCCGACCAGTACTAGATGAGTAGTATCTCTTGACCTGATGATAAACTCACTGTTACGAAACCATTCGAACATCCAATGTACCAGCTCGTCTATTAGATTGCTGAAGAAACGCACCTAGCTCACAACATTTCCAGGTTGTGCAAACTTGTCTGGGATAAATGTCATTCTCTTTGGGTGATGGTAAGCTACATAGTCCTTCAATGGTCGACGTAGAAGCTCATAAAGATATTCTCCTATTTGAAAATATTCTAATAACCAAACTTGTAGTAACAGATTACAACCCTCGAAGTGCCCGAACCCCTGCTTGCACCGATCTAGAGCGCGGTACATTTCATCCAAGATCATGGGGACGATAGTATAGGTTTGTCCCTTGATGCCTTCCATTAGGGTCCTGGCTACCATGGCTAGACATGTGCGGATCCTTCCCCCTTTCATTGGAAATATCAGCAACCCCAAGAAGCAGATAATGAACACATAAACTCGACGGTGCGTCCAACCCAAGGAAGTAAGGGAAAGTTCATCATGATGAAGGCAATATGACTTGTTGTGCCCATAACTCTCATAAAGGAATTCAAATGGGATGTATGACTTCTTCAAACAAAGCAGCTCATCATTTTTCTTGAAACCCAACATTTTCAGAAAGCCGCGAGGGGTGCGATTCTCTGGCACTAATAACCCTGGACTATCCCATGGCAGCTTAGCGAAACCTCCTATTTCCTCTAAGAGGGGAGTCATTTCTATGTCATCGAAGCGGAAGATGGCCCTTTTCTCATCCCAAAACATAGTAGCGGCCTCAATCAATGCTCTATTCCCTCGGATGTCTGACAAGGATGGTAAATTACCACGGATCCTTCTCACATGATTCTTGTCGCTAGGCGCGAGATTTTTCCACCAATCAAGTAGCAGAGGTGGGATGCTTTGGACCATGCCGAACCTGGGGACTTCGTGCTTCATTTTCTGCATACAAATAGAGTTAGCCCTTTCACCCTCCAGATTCGACTATTTACATACTAATGATCAACATATTGGCATATTTTCTCCAAGTAATGCACATAACGTGTCGGAGTCCATTGGGATTGTGGAAATCCCGTCGGACTTTGGACAAGGCTTATCTTAGCAGGATGTTACATTAACAACGTTCTAACCCGTACTAGGTTTAACATGATGCATGTACAGTTGATATTGGAGTAATGTTTCTAGAATGGCCTAGACTGGTACTCTCAAGTGGACAACTTGAGAGGGAAAGGCACAGGATCGTCGACTGCACCGCTGACGACTAGCCTACCGCAAATAAGCCTTTCCGATTTATAGGGTAATTTGCGGGAACTCATCAAGCGTTGCTATGTTGATAATTGGCACGTATGGAGTGTGATGTGGAGCATGCTTTATGCAGAGATAATAACACATTGCCAAGTATTTGCATGATAAATATGTAAAAAGCGGTAAATACAGTATTAAGTTAAAACATGAAAAAGATAAAAAGAAAGACAAAGGAAGAAGTTAGTTCGTGGAATATATGCGTAAATGTATAAACAAACAAGGGAGTAGGGACGGAGCGGCATGAGATAAAATTCTTTAAACAAATGAAAAGCAGTTATAGCAAATAAGGGTGGATGGCTGAAGGGATGTGCATGTTATAACAAATTTAAGCAAATAAAGGTGGAGAAGGGAAGGGATGTGCATGTAATAGCAAAATTTAGCAAATAAAGATGGAAAAGGAATGTGCGTTTTATAACAAAGAAAACTAATCCCCATAAGCCAAGTTTATTATGGTAAGATCCTAAGTGTAAATCCCCAGAAGAGTCGTCATGCTGTCGCGCCCCGTTTTCTCATGAAAGCGGGTTTCGATGTCGTGACAACTCCTTATAGAATGGGAGATGGAGTGCTAAAAAAAGAAGAGTCGCCACCTAACGATTATTAAGGTGCGTTAGGGCACCTATTGTGCAGATAACTTTGTTTGACTAGTCAACGCCACCAAAGATTGGCCGAAAATCTTGGCTAATCGGACCCATATAGCCATGGTCATGATGTATATGGACTAAATACTGTACAGATTCAAGCGGTTGAAGTGGAATGGCCGGATTCTGGGAGATAGTACTTGCCATATTTAGGCAAGTACTAGGTGATGCCATCGTTTTTGTAGAAAATACTGGGATAACACACAAAAGGTAAGGAAATCATGGAAAGAATCCATGATTGAGGCGGATTTGGAAAGATTTGAGAGGGCGGCTAGGGTTTCTGTGGAGAGGAGAAGAGAGGATACGAAGGCCGCATCTCAGGGAAAATAGGGTTAGGGTTTCTGGGTTGGGTTAATTAAAGAGGAGAATGAACGAGGGCCGTTGATCTTGAGAGATCAACGGTCAGGATTAAACAATGAATGGGGTGGGCCATGGAGATGGGTACCGACCGGGTTTTAGGTTAAGGGGTTGTTTGGTTTGGGCTGGGATTATTGGGCTAAGGTACTGGGCCAATTTGGTCCGAAAAATCACTCAAAATTGGGCCAGCCTTTTAAACACATATAATTTATCAAAAATAATGTATAAAAATAATTAGTAAATAAAAAAAAATTTATGCACTAAAATGATTTACAATAATGATTTAGCATTATAAAAATATAAAATGCTATTTTGACACGAATAGTATAAATAAGGAGCATTTGTGAATGAATAAAGGCTATTATTGCAAGATTAAATAAATAGCTTAAAAATGTAAACATAATTATACGAAATGAAGTGACAATATTATGAAACATATATGAGGACGAAAAATAGTGATTTGGATGATTAAATCATCACAAATAATTTAAAGGGATAATAACTAATATTTAGGTAATTTAAATGCAAGAAAATTAATTTAAAAGCTCCAAAAATTATGGAAAATTATAGAAAATGCTTGTTGTCACGACCCCAATACCCGGTCGTGATGGCGCCTATCACAATACTAGGAAAGCCAACCCAATAAGTAACAAAGCCAATTTATTTTACTAAAAATATTTTTCTAACATGTAGTTAAGTCGCGATTTTCATAAGGAATTCATAATTCACTGAAATGTGCGGAAAACATTACAGAAAATAAACCAGCACAGCCCAACCATCTGGTGTCACAAGTCTAGAGCCTCTAAATACAACCAGTCCGACTCTCTAATACATGATAAGTCTAAAAATGTGGAAAACAAGGATAGCAAGGAGGAAAGCAGGGCTGCGGACGCCGTGCCGCTACCTTGCAGTCTCCGATAAGCTCCGAAAATGCTGGGAACCCTCACTCTGCCGCTCGGGCACCTGAATCTGCACACAAGGTGCAGGGAGTAATGTGAGTACGCCAACTCAGTAAGTAACTAAAGTAAATAAGGCCTGAGTGCAATGACGAGCAGTTAAAAATCAAGTAATAGAGCATACAACAGAATATCAAGTCAAACTCAACAATTTACAAGCCAGCACTTTGTAAAAACATCAGTTTCAGTCAAAATACTTTGAAATCATTTACTTAGTAGTTTCCAACACAGGCTCGGTATAAAAGAAGAGTGAAATCAGTAACAATGTCATAAATGGGACCCTCGGGCAAGGTATCACTCATAAATATAGCCTCTCAGTCGCTCGTGACTCAGCTCTTGTGACTTAGTACTCACACTCATCACTCTGGCTCAATAGTATTTCATAGTAGTAATAATCATAATAATCGCTGCGGCGTGCAGCCCGATCCATAGTTTATAGTCGACTACGCTCACTGGGGGTGTACAGACTCCTGAGGGGCTCCTACAGCCCAAGCGTCATATCGCTGCGGCGCGCAGCCCGAACCAATATTTATATCGCTGCGGCGTGCATCCCGATCCATATAAGTGTCGCTGCGACGTGAAGCCCGATCCATAATACATACATAGCGCGCAACCCGATCCATAATATATATATATATATATATATATATATATATATATATANTATATATATATATATATATATATATATATATATATATATATATATATATATATATATATATATATATATATATATATAAAATCCTCGCGATTAGGTCCTCAACCTATCTCAGTCATTAACCTCACAGCCGCTCGGGCATAACAGTGGAAATCAGGGAAACTCAACCCAACAGTTTTCATATTTTAAAAAACAAATAGAGTGATAAAAACCAGGTTTAAACAATAAACAGGTAAAACATGACTAAGGATATGCTTGCAAACAAATAGAGCGAGGAAAACAGTAAAAATTCTCCTAAGGGTCTCAACAGATCGGCACAAGGCCCCAAACATGGCATACAACCCATAATATAGTATCAATCTCTAAAATACATGATATCATAAGATTTCAAGTCAAGTACGCGGCTTAATAGTCGCTACGGGACGAACTAAGTCACAATCCCTATCGGTGCACGCCCACACACTCGTCACCTAGCATGTGCGTCACCTCATTTATCAAGTCAATACGAAATACCTGGGTTTTATACCCTCAGTTCCAGATTTACAATGGTTACTTACCTCAAACCGGATAAAATACTACTCCGCGACGCCTTTGCCTCTCGCCTCGGCCTCAACTCGCATCGAATCTACCCAAAATCAGAATCATAACATTAGAATATGCTAAGGGAACAAAGCCCATGCGAAAATAATCAAATTATACCAAAAATCCCGAAATTGGTCCAACCCGACCCCCGGGCCCACGTCTCAGAATTCGATAAAATTAACATCAATGGAACCCTTATCTCCCCACGAGTTCATGCATATCAAAAGCACCAAAATCCAACCACAAACGACCCCTCAAATCCCAAATTCTAGGTCTCCAAATACAAGCCCTAGTTCTTCAATATTTAGGCTTAAATTCTACAATTTCCATGATTAATTAGGTAGAAATCATATTAGGATTGAGTATTAAGTCCATAAATCTTACCTCTAAGTGTCTCCCTTGATTCCCTCTTCAATCCCCTTCAAAGAGCTTCAAAATCACCCAAAAATGGAGGAACTTAGGTTCAAAATCGCGGAAATGGCCTTTTTAAACATTCTGCCCAGCTATTAAATTTACTTAATCGCGATCGCGGGACTACCATCGTGATCGCGAACCACAAACTCCGCTGGCCCAAAATTTCACCTTATGCAATCGCGTGATTACACTCGAGTTCGAACTCAAACGCCCAAAGCTACGCGATCGCGTCTTGCCTCATGCGTTCTCGAAGCACCATTTCACAAACATCCGCGATCGTGACCCCCTTTATGCGTACACATAGAAAAATTTCACCCTAGCCCCAAATTAGCCTACGCGATCGCGATTCCCTGTTCGCGAAGGGCAAAATACCTGCAATAAAATACCAGCAAAAACTGCTACGTTCCAAACGTAAATTTGACCCGTTTAACCACCCGAAACTCACCTGAGGCCCTCGAGACCTCAACCAAACATGCCAACATATCCCATAACATCATTAAAACTTGTCCAACCTTTGGAACGCTCAAAACAACATCAAAACGCCAAATTTGCATCGGATTCAAGCCTAAGAATTCTAAAAACTTCCAAATTCCGCTTTTGATCAAAAAGTCTACCAAATCACGTTCGAATGACCTGACATTTTGCACACACATCCCAAATGACACAACGGACCTACTCAACTTCCGGAATTCCATTCCGACCATTATATCAAAATCTCACCTATCAACCGGAAAATGCCAAAATACCAATTTCGCCAATTCAATCCTACATCTACTCCGGACCTCCAAAACACATTCCGATCATGCTCCTAAGTCCCAAATCACCTCCCGAAGCTATCTGAATCATCGGAATTCACATCCGAGCCCTATTTTACATAAGTCAACATCTGGTTGACTTTTCCAACTTATGCTTTCTTAAAAGAGACTAAGTGCCTCAAACCTTACCAAAATCTCTCCAAACCCGAACCAATCAACCCGATAACATATAATACGACTGAAAAAAGCAATAAGAAGCCTAAATGGGGAAAACGGAGCGGTAACTCATGAAACGACCGGCCGGGTCATTACATCGTCCCCCTCTTAAACAAACGTTCGTCCTCGAACGAGTCAAGAAACATACTTGAAGCCTCGAATAGGTGAGGATATCTGCTCCGCATCTTCCGCTCTGTCTCCCAGGTAGCCTCATTCACGGGCCGACCTCTCCACTGCACTTTCACTAAAGCTATACCCTTTGACCTCAACTTTCGAACCTGCCGCTCCAAAATAGCAACTGGCTCCGTATCATACGCCAAATCATCTTCTAACTGAACCGTGCTGAAGTCCAAAACATGAGATGGATCCCCAATATACTTCCGGAGCATAGAAACATGAAATACCGAATGCACACTCGATAGGCTGGGTGGCAATGCAAGCTCATAAGCCACCTCCCCAATCCTCCGAAGCACCTCAAAAGGCCCAATGAACCGGGGACTCAATTTACCTTTCTTCCCAAATCTCATAACACCCTTCATGGGTGAAACCTTCAACAGAATCTTCTCACCAACCATGTAGGACACATCCCGGACCTTCCTGTCAGCATAACTCTTTTGTCTCGACTGCGCTGTACGAAGCCTCTCCTGAATCACCTTCACCTTGTCTAAAGCATCCTGCACCAAGTCTGTGCCCAATAGTCTAGCCTCACCCGGCTCAAACTAACCAACTGGAGATCTACACCGCCTCCCATACAAAGCCTCATATGGAGCCATCTAAATACTCGACTGGTAACTGTTGTTATAAGCAAACTCTGCGAGCGGTAGAAACTGATCCCATGACTTTCCAAAATCAATGACACAGGCACGCAACATGTCCTCCAATATCTGAATAGTGCGCCTCGGACTGCCCATCCGTCTGAGGGTGAAAAGTTGTGCTCAGCTCAACCTGAGTACCCAACTCTCGCTGTACAGACCCCTAAAACTATAAAGTAAACTGAGTGCCCCTATCTCAAATGACGAAAACCGGGACACCATGCAAACGAACAATCTCCCGGATATAGATCTTTGCCAACTGCTCTGAAGAATAAGTAGTACACACAGGAATGAAGTGCGCGAACTTGGTCAGCTGATCCACAATCACCCAAATAGCATCGAACTTCTTCAAAGTCCGTGGGAGCCCAACTACAAAGTCCATGGTGATCCGCTCCCACTTCCACTCTGGAATAACCATCCGCTGAAGCAAGCCACCCGGTATCTGATGCTCATATTTCACTGCTGACAATTGAGACACCGAGCAATGAATCCCACAATGTCCTTCTTCATTCTCCGCCACCAATAGTGTTGTCTCATATCCTAATACATCTTCGCGGCACCCGGATGAATGGAATACCGAAAGCTATGGGCCTCCTGCAGAATCAACTCCCGAAGCCCAACTACATTGGGCACACATATCCGGCCCTGCATCCTAAACACCCCATCATCACCAATGGTCACATCTCTGGCATCATCGTGCTGAACTCTGTCCCTAAGGACAAGCAAATGGGGATCATCATACTGGTGCTCTCTGATGCGATCAAATAAGGAAGACCGAGAAATCACACAAGCCAATACCCGACAGGGCTCCGAAATATCCAACCTCACGAACTGATTGGCGAAGGCTTGAACATCCACTGCAAGAGGTCTCTCCCCAACTGGAAAATATGCCAAACTCCCCATACTCACTGCCTTTCGGCTCAACGCATCGGCCACTATATTGGCCTTCCCCGGATGGTACAAAATAGTAATATCATAATCCTTTAGCAATTCCAACCATCTCCGCTGCCTCAAATTGAGATACTTCTGCTTGAACAAGTGTTGGAGGCTACGATGATCAGTAAACACCTCACAAGACACACCATTCAAGTAATGCCTCCAAATCTTCAACGCGTGAAAAATGGTAGCCAACTCCAAATCATGAACAGGGTAGTTCTTCTCATGGGGCTTCAACTGACGAGAAGCATAAGCAATAACTCTACCCTCATGCATCAACACACACCCAATACGACCTCTCGAAGCATCACAATACACGGTATATGAACCTGAAGCTGATGGAAAAACTAACACTAGAGCTATGGTCAAGACAGTCTTGACCTTCTGAAAGCTCTTTTCACACTCATCCGACCACCTGAATAAAGCACCCTTCTGAGTCAACTTGGTCAAGGACGATGCGATAGATGAAAATCCCTGAACAAACCGGCGGTAATAACTTGCCAAACCAAGAAAACTGCGAATCTCTGTAGCTGAGGACGGTCTGGGCCAACTCTGAACCGCCTCTATCTTCTTTGGATTAACCTGAATACCCTCACTAGACACCACGTTCCCCAAGAAAGCCACTGAACTGAGCCAA